TTAGTCAACCAAGATTTATAAAAATGTTTTGAGTTTCTAAAGGAAAAATGTTTTACCTGGCAATTTTATTGCCATTGGCTCTGAGCATAAAGTCAATTGACAATATGGCAGTTTCCCTCTTGCTTTAAGCAGTGTAGCTAGCCATATTGGATAAACAAACAGGAAATTCTTAGTGGGGCTTGAATTGAACCCATGAATCAAATAGAGGGATGTTAGAAACATCATATTAAGCTAAATCAATTGTTTGTGGAGCTTGGTAGTTTATGGAAAAGCACGATACTCCCTTTTCACAACATTGATCTACCTTGAACATTCATTATATTCCCTTAGTAATTCTCTGCAAATCATTTTTCTACAAAGACCTTCTTGATCCCATTTCTATTTTAAGTCAGTACTACCTCTTTAGTAATGAGTTTATTATCTCTTGTGTATACTTCACTTCTATATTCCAATGACTTTATAAACATTGATTTTCAAAATATCCATTAGAGCACACTACAATTTGGAATACAAGCTTAACTCATCCATTTCTTTCTTTGTATTATTCTTACCTTTGTAATTTGGAGGGTTTGAATTTTCAAATGATTTTTTCAGAGCATAAAGTCAAATGATGGTAAGGCAATTTCCCTCTTGATTTAAGCAACATAGTTAGTCAGTCTATCTACAAAAGTGTAATAGCCTAAACAACTTTTTATCCTTTTACTCATTTGAAGTTCTAGGTTCATTCCTCTGGTTGAGAGCAATGTGAAATATATACATATTCATAAAGAGAGTCATTTTGTTTATGGGCAATATTTGCTTTATTGTTGGCACAATGAGCATTTTGTTTTACAGCAGCAGTGAAATAATTATCTGGACATAATTTGTCAGATCTCCTTTTGCTTGATCTCCACTTCACTTGCTGTTAAATAAACACCTCAAACTAAAATACAGATAACATTGTGTATCCTTCTACAGCTCACATACTAAGTGTAGCATACTCCTTTATCAGTACTGAATAAATATTTATACTGACAGTTCTTTGGGATTCATGAATCTTTAATATTCTGAGTTCTTAGTACATTAACTTCTCTTTGTTAATTTGTGTGTAAATCATTCTTTTCATAACTCCCTTCAATCTTTCTATTAGAACCACTCCTGAGATATTGGTAAATGTATTATGCCTTGCCTCCCACAGTGAAGTTTTTATTTCCAAAAGATGAAGTGTATTTTGGTGGTTTTGTCTTCTCAATACCTTCTCCTTTTCTTATTTTTATCTTCATGCCTTCAAAAGTTCAGTCTCAAATACTTATCCTGAAATTTAATTGATAATTTCAAGTTGATACACTTGAAATTAATTGTTCCTGGACAATGTCTGCTATACTTTGATCTTCAAGATCGTTGTCCCTATAGTGCTTTGTTTCAACCAGCTTGAATGTATAGTTTTTACTTGGACTGTAAAATAAATTTGAGAACCAACAATTCTCAATGTTGAATTATCTTTTTTAAACTACAGAAGCCAGTTATGGTGGCACACACCTATAATCCCAGCACTTTGGAGCCTGAGACAGGATTGCTGCCAATTCAAAGCCAGCATGGGCTCCATATTGAATTTAAGACCAGCCTGAGCTCCATAGTGAGACTGCCTCAAACAAAGAAACAAACAAACAACAAACCACAACAAATAAACAAAACCAAAATGAACTACTCCAGTGTGATATGTTAAATATCTCCAGCTTTGAGGAATACCTAAACTAACTGTGGACTTCAGAGACACTATGTTTTGTAATCCTGGAAATCACAGTTGATTGTTCATATATGGCATATTCACTATACCTATGAAATATTCCAGGAAAAATAATATTTAGAGATTATAAATCTAGAGTAGCATTATCTACAATTAAAGATAAATTACTATTAGAGGAAGTGAGATATGGGGACACTGAATACCTGTAGCTTTTTTCCCTTAAACATTTTCCTAGGATACAAGCAGAGAAGAATTTTGCCTTATATGTTAAGATACCTCTTCTCATTTTCCTTGAGTAAACATGTGGCTACTTCTAAAAGTACAGATATTTTATGTAAAGAGTTTATATCTGGTTCAGTGCATTATTTGTGGAAAAAAATTTTTTTAAAAAGCTTACCCACTTTTGGTTGCCCAAGAAAAATCCAGAAAAAATTGACACTTGCTTAAAAAGAGAAGAATCAGAACCAGAATGACCTTTTCATCTTGACTGCAGGCATCACCCCCCACCCCCCAAGTTTAGCAGAACACACTGAGGAGGACTTGAAACTGGCTCCTGTGGTCTGTGCCTTCCAGCCCATTGCAGCAACTTCCCATATACAGCGGTGACATGGACAAGACAATGATAACAGGCCCGCAGAAGCTGCTCTCTGCTCTGTACATGACATGAGCCGAAAGTTTTGAACAAGTGTGGAAGGCACACTGACATTTGTCTTCCCTTCTGAAGAAGCCAGAGTGCATCTTGCTCGGCTATCGTGTTCCCAGGGGAATGTGATTTAACTTCCACGTTTCACACAGTAAGAATCAACACTGTAGACCTGGGAAGGTGGTGGCAGTCGGGGAGGAAAGTGGATAAGTGTTTTTCACTCCAGTGTTTTCGTGTGACCTGACTCTCAATTTCAGTTTAGTTATATCTGGACCTCAAAAGGGCAGCTACAGTGTGCCTATCTCCATTTATCTTACCTCTTATGATGTCCATGCCCCTCTTCCTCTTCTCCCACCCCATGCAGCCTCCTCTGTTTGCCTTGCAATCTACTGATAGAGGTTTTCCCCTAGATTTCTGTACAATGTTTGCACTCTCATTTCCTGGGTATGGACTGTACTTCCAGACAGAAGAAATATATTTGAGTTCCTGACAAAAAATATCCACTCAAGAGCAGCCTAAGCAGTTCCTTAGGTCTTCAACCACATATGAATGATTATTCATATATCTGAGAGCTTAAGCCCTTCCTTGTAGGCAGTACAGGCACTAATAGTCCCCACATCTCTCTAGCTTTGCTTCCCTTCTCCTCTATTAAGTGACTGATTTTTATGCATGAAATAATAGACAAGCCATGGGTGACCTGTTTTTTGTTTTTTTTTTCCCCTTCCCTCCCTTCCCCGCCCCCCCCACCCGTTTTCCCTTGCGGTAAAATAGTGCCGAAGAAAGAGGGCACTAGTGTACAGCCCAGATTGCATCCTTGCACCGTCTGGATTGGAGCTGAGGCGTCTGCGAACTGAGGGCCTCCAGGGTCCTCTGACCCGGGGACCACAGCTCTCTCTACCCCGACTCAGGTAAGTCTTAAGTGTGCATCCTTCAGACAGGTAGGCGGACACCCACCTGCCCTCGTCAAAACCTACCCACAAAGGCAGACTCAGTCTAATCTATTGGATTTTGTCCTGATCCAGGCAGATCTCCGCTTATTTATTTCTTTTAGTTTGCATGCTTGAGAAGCATCAGGGGCGGTGGGTGTCTTGGTTGTCTTCCTCCTTTTTGCCTGCTTCATCTCCTGCGCTCTCACTCCCTGCCCGCTCCCTTGGCCCCTTTCTCGCTTGATTCTCACCTTGAGAAGGGATGGAGAGAGACGGGAGAGGGAGCCAACTTCAGCCTCGCAGGCGGCGAAGGTTTGGCGCCTCAGCCCCCCACAACCGCGGCTGGGTTTGAATACAGACCTGCAGAAGCGCTGTGAGGGGAGAGAATGAGGGCGGAGAGATGGTGGGGAGGCGAGGGGAGAGGTGTGTGTGTGGGTGCATGTGCATGTGCATGTGTGTGCATCTGAGTAAAGAGCACGGGGGAGGGCGGTAGAAAGAGGAAAGGGGGTCTCGGAATTGCTATTCAACAGTCAAAGCATCCCTTGCAGGCCCTGCGGGGGACCGGGTCTGCAGCTGGGCCGGGCGCTGTCCAGGGTTCTGAACGCGTCAGGATCTGGCTGCGGTGGCAAAAATCAATTCTCCCTTCCGTTCCCTTTGCAGCAACTGCGCAAAGCCTAAGGGTCCTACCTATAGTTAGGAGACCTTTTACCCCTTTCTCCATGTCAGAAAACTGCACCTCTTCTCCTTGAACATCTACAGTAAGCCCGACTTCTTGGGAGTGGGGCGCATACCAAACTCCAACATACGGAGACTTTACCAGGCGTTGCCTTAGTAACTAATGTGGATTTTCCACAAACTGGCAGATTTATATTTACTACTTGGATTGTAAATCCAGGTCTCTTCAGCCCCTCTCAGTTAAAGTAGAAGGTGCACCACTTGTTTGCATTCATTTTAAAGTCGCGTTCCCACCTTTGCAATGAGCTTCCAAATTTCCTTCTGGGAAAAAAGTTGATCTTTTCAAATTCGGAAAGTTCTCTTAGGTTGGAGGATTTAGCTCCTCCCCCTGCTCTCTTCACCCACCCTAGTGGCTCCAAGGCCTCCTTCCCCCCAGTTAGGAAACACGGTGAGTATCTGGGCACTGGGATGAGACTGGCGGCTGCACGAAGGGGCGGGTCGGTGGGCTCTGAGCGCCGGGGGCCAGAAAAAAGTTGATCTTTTCAAATTCGGAAAGTTCTCTTAGGTTGGAGGATTTAGCTCCTCCCCCTGCTCTCTTCACCCACCCTAGTGGCTCCAAGGCCTCCTTCCCCCCAGTTAGGAAACACGGTGAGTATCTGGGCACTGGGATGAGACTGGCGGCTGCACGAAGGGGCGGGTCGGTGGGCTCTGAGCGCCGGGGGCCACAACCCAGCGTTCAGCTCACCGCTGCCAGCACGACGTTCATGGCACCCTTGATCGATGTACCTTGATGCACCTGTGAAGAAAGGGGACTCGATTTCCCTTAAAAACGCCTCCAGGGCGTGGGGCGGTTGTGGAGGACCAGGAGGAAGAGGTGGAGGGGAAATAGGCGGTGGTGGAGGCGGCGTAGGCGTCGGACGAGCAGTGCTGGTGAGGGGGACCCAGTCGCGGGAGGCAGCTGCCGGCGTCCAGGAGTTGCGCGCCGGAGCCTGCAGGCGCGAGCAGCGTGGGAGCGCGGCTGCGGGCTGCGGACTGCATCCTCATCACGATGGTCCGGCTCCTCTTGATTTTCTTCCCAGCGATCTTTTTGGAGATAGCGCTGCTCCCCAGCAGCCCCAGTAGGAAAATGTTGCTGGCGGAAGCCTCGTCTCAGCGCTCTGTGGCCAGAATGGACGGAGATGTCATCATCGGAGCTCTCTTCTCAGTCCATCACCAGCCTCCGGCGGAGAAGGTGCCCGAAAGGAAATGTGGGGAGATCAGGGAGCAGTATGGTATTCAGAGGGTGGAGGCCATGTTCCACACGTTGGATAAGATTAACGCGGACCCAGTCCTCCTGCCCAACATCACCCTGGGCAGTGAGATCCGGGACTCCTGCTGGCACTCCTCTGTGGCCCTGGAACAGAGCATTGAGTTCATCAGGGACTCTCTGATTTCCATTCGAGACGAGAAGGACGGGCTCAACCGGTGTCTGCCCGACGGCCAGCCCCTCCCCCCCGGCAGGACTAAGAAGCCCATTGCAGGCGTGATCGGCCCCGGCTCCAGCTCCGTAGCCATTCAAGTCCAGAACTTGCTCCAGTTGTTTGACATCCCTCAGATCGCCTATTCTGCCACGAGCATCGACCTGAGCGACAAAACTTTGTACAAATACTTTCTGAGGGTTGTCCCTTCTGACACTTTGCAGGCAAGGGCGATGCTAGACATAGTCAAGCGTTACAACTGGACCTATGTCTCTGCAGTCCACACGGAAGGTAGGCACTATGTTTGGGCGAGGGAAGTACTGAGCGCCAGGGCATTGCATGATGAGGTCCTGGGATCACAGTTTCCGCCCCGTTTGTTTCTGGCACTGTGAGAAACAGACTTTACCTTTCAGTGTACATGCATCCGGGCATTGGTTTTTACCCTCATTTCCTTATTATAGGGTAAGAAAACTGTATTGAGAGGTGTTTCTAGGGTTGGGAAGAGCAGAAATGATATAAACCTCTCCATACTAAGTGTCCAGCTCTAGATATTACACTGAAAGGATGGCTTGCCTCCATATCTCGAGTTTGTGTTTGGCAGAGTGATGGCCAGAAAAATCATTATGTCACCCTCAGTGACAGGCCGTGACTTCCCAAGCTTAGTGGGCTAATCTAAGATGAGTGAATAACAACAACTGAAAAATCCATCTTGTAATTTAGACTTGAAAGCTTTGTCTTATCTGCAATATCTGAAGGTGTTCTTTCATCCTTTTCTGCCCTTTGCTACACTTCCAAAACTTCCTGGAAATGTAGGATTAATGCAGTCATTTCCCACAGGATATCAGAAACTTATATTTTCAATTTTGGAGTACCTTAGAGACAGAAAAAGTAAAGGATTGAAACCATTTAGCTTTTCCTTATTTTGTATAGTAAAACCACCCAAACTTCCTCACTCCCTCCAAAGTTATCTTTTGTGAAAAATAGAACTAAAGACATCTCAGAGTTGAGATTTTGTTTTTAGTCTGTTTCTTCCAACATAATGACTCTGCTATTTGAAATTTAAAGTTAGAGCAATTATTACCAATAAAAGGGTAGTAGATGCCAGGGTTAAAGTGGCTGTTTAAAATTAAAAAGATTGACATGAGGTTAAAAGTTTTGATTTTTCCAGAATTTTACAGGTATGAATTCTCCGAATTTGTTAAAGATTTTCTTTATGCTCTTTGCTTTAGCCTATATAAATTTTTGGATTAAATGAGTATTTTTTTTTAGCTCATCTAGTCTTAACTTTCCTAGTAGGTTTATAATTAAATTGAGGTCCTATTAATAAACTGACATCTGAGATAATTCACCTGTGTATTTTCTGGCAGGTAGAAGACAATACTGAGGATATTGGTGCATTCATAGTTCTTAAAATCAAATTATTAGAAAAGGCCACAGATTATGATTTCATTTAAAAATATTTACACAGTGCTCAATGATGCATGAGATTTGATCATAAAAATTAAGAAGCATTCTTATGAAGTGGCTATATACCTATTGCTAATAAAAACAGCTGCTTTAATGTATAAAGAGAACAATTTTCAGAACAAAATATATAGAACTATATATTATATTCCAAAAGACTTTGCTTTTGGTGAAAAAAATAAGAACTTTTCTGCTACAGTATAGTGCTTTCAACATCTGATTCTTATTTCTGAATCTTGATTTTTAAATTAACTTTTTGAACACAAACATTAATTTTTAAGACAAAAAATTGAATTTCCAAAGTTAATTCCTTACATTTTAATGTTTAATGTTAATTTCCTATATTTTAATGTTTAGTAGTTCCTTCTTAAATGGAACATTCTGAAATCACAAGTTAAAAATACTTAAAATACCAGCACTGAAATGGTCTCTCCAAAAGCAATGGCCAAAATCTAGATCGAGTGTGCTTTATTTAAATATTTAATAATTCTTCTTCCATTCAACAAGGTAAGTGATTATTTATATTAGAAGAATAAAGTCTTCCTTCAAGAAGAAGTAATATTTCATCATTTTTATATAGTAGTTTTATCTTTCATGTTTTATTATGATATATTTTATTTGGCGGGAGGGAAGTAACAGAAGAAAGACTCTCCTCTCTCCTAAATCTGTATTGCAATTGCACCACTTTTCTAAAAACAATTCATAATAGACGTTGCTTTCTGAGAATAGAATTACACTTGTGAAAAAAATTGGACCAGTGTTGGTTAATTTTGGTGAGGAAGGACTTCCATTACAATTTTACATATCTATTAATTTGGATTAGTTTTTTTTCTGCATTCTGACTACTGTATGGCCAGAGACAAATTCTCTACTGTATTAAAATAATTTATTCCAGACTGGATGTGTTCATAGAACAGACAGCAACATAGCTAACTTCGTTGTTTATTCTATTATAGGAGATTACACCATTCACTTTGCCATTTATGTATGCTATCTTGTTTCTTCTCCAAAGGATTTAATTTCTCCTCTTATTAGATACATCTGTGAAAACTAAATTGCTTTTATTTTCTCCTATCTGCAAACCTATTTTGTGTAAGCTCTTTTGTGTCAGCTCCAGCTGAAAATGTCTCCTGAGGCTCTGCCCTCTGCTTCTCAGGGACCCATGGTGCACTGGCCTACAGGCACTTTCTTGGATCACAGTAATTTTCCCGTCTTTGGACTGATGGGGTCACCTACTGGTGACAGTTTCCTGACAAATAGCAGCTAAGACCACATATCCCTGTTGCCTGTACCATCTGGGCACTATTTAGCAATGAATCTTATTTGTCTGAATATTGGCAATTTGGAGTTGAGAAAACCTGGGCTTCCAATGACCTTCACTTCTCCTTCCCATATCAGCCTTTCCCTAGCCAATTTATCACTAAGTCTTTCATTAGAAACCAAACTAGTATGGTTACTATCAAGAAGTCTAGACTAGTATATCTTAATTTTTATAATGAATTTTGTGACTTTAAAATCATACACGGAGCAGCCATTCTTTAAATGCCTTATTGTTTTTATAGTCCTTTCTACTTTATTTTATACTGACGTCAGCTTTGAGATTTTTATTCTGTTCATCTAAACCACTAAACTTTTGATGTTAAACTGCCTTTGACTATTTTAAATATACTACTGTATCTCCTCATTTGTGCAGCACACGTCCTTTGGCCATGACAACTGTCAGTTTATCTGACCTAAAAGAGAATCAGTACACGTGAATTTACCTGCCATTCACCCCGCAGACACCGTTCGGGATTGCTTCCTGAGAGGAGTGTTGGGACAGGGAATGCTGAGAACGTCAAGGGCAGCAGGGCGTGGAAGTGGGGGGGCCTTCTTCACCGGTTAAATCTGAATGTAGTCTGGAATAAGCTTTTCACCTGCAATGTGTGTCTCTACATATACTCAGCATGGACAGCAAAAATAAGCACTTTCGAGATGAGTATTTAGGCCAAGGACACTTTATTCTGTTCTTCAGAGAAAATGCAGATTCCCCATCAAAAGCCAAGTTTATAATTTCAAAAGTTTGTGTAAAGCAGTACTTCAAAATAATTTTAGTTGCTTGAATTCAATTCACTCAACTAGTGCAATGAACAGTATTCTTTGATCTTTTTTTTTTTTTTTCCACTTTTCTTTTTTGGTACTGGAAATCGAACCCAGTACCTCACACTTGCCAGGCTATGACACTGAGCTACATCCCTGGCCCAGTGATATTCTTTGAGTTTGTAGCTTCGAAGAGCTTTTAGAAATGGATATATTTTCATTTATTTTAAGCCTCTCTCTCAGATTTTGTTTTAGGCAGAAGCGCAGTGATATAGCAAGCCTAATGATGCTGCTTTTCTTATGAAAATATCCACTTTAAGGTGACTCTTTGTTTAGTTGGGGTTTAAATGTGGTGCAACATTTTTTGGGACATTTTCTTAAGTTTTATATGAAAATTGGCCTTTTACTCTTCTTTTCAAAGTCTCATCTTTTTCTTTACAGGATTTTTGTCCTCTTTGATATAAAATCTAATTTAAACAGAATACCCCCTAAAGCCATAAATATGAGTTAACCATTGCTTTAGGTAATGCAATTAAAAATAATAATTTTGTATCTACTCTCACTTTATCTTGCCAAATGACAAGTAACCTTCTCTATAGACTGTTCTGTCTTGACTGCAACCCATCACACAGGATGTCATTTTAATACATTGTTTTATTTTATCATAGAACAAAGAATGGGGGTGCATTGTGCAGTTATTTAAGAATCCGCTTAAGGATTCTTAAAACATCACTATTCCATCGTTGCCCATGCTTTATGTTTTCTCATTGTGATCCGGGTTTCTAATGAGAGTGAGGGGATTTATGAGTAGATTTCAGAAGCAGAATTTCACATGACTCTTAGTCCATTCTTTTACATTCATGAAAGATGCCTTGAAACTTTCAACAATTCTCTACTAACTACTGTGAGTCAGCCAAAACAACTCAAACTCTTCTTCCATGTGATATTTGTTATTAAGGAATCTTTTCTTCTTCATACCATCCCTCACCAGTCCCTTCCCTCATGCACTGTTTTTTTTTCCTCACATCAAAGCTGACAACTAGCTCTTAGATCAATCAGTATCCCAAAGTGTTTAAAAATGATGTGCTACTATAAGCCATATATGTTTCTCTTATCCTTGAATAACTATTATTGTCATTACTAATTATTTTATCTGTGTATCAATTCGATTTTTTCTTTTAAATGTGAAATTGTCTTAAATCTGCCTAACTTACTAATTAGTTCCCACATTTTGGTTACTTTATCTTACTGTCCCAGCCTTGTGTCCTCAGGATTTAATAATGGATGTTAAAACTTGAGTAGGATAGAGTCAAGTGTAAAGTCCCACCCCTTTTATTGCAAACTGTCTCCTGGCTACCTTCAGTGGTTACTCAGCCTGTGATGAATTCCCTGGGCTGTGTGTTTTTCTACTGCATATCATATGCCACCTTGTACATACATAAAAACTATAAGTGGTGTAAATATTCAACTCTGCTCAAACATTTACTGCAAAAACTATGTAAGAAATTTGAAGACTTAGTCTCAGATAATACATAGTTTCCACATTAAAGCCAGTGTCCTTTTAATACATGTAAAATAAACAAAAACAAATTAAAAACTAATCATTGAAGTATAGACATTTAAAAACCTGAATTTATATATGTTTAGGAAGCTTTAATAGAAAACATTGGTTGTTTAATCATTTAGAGAAAAGCTAGAGAGAAAGGAATCTTTGTTAATGTTTTATTTGGGAATATAGCATGTATAAA